GAGAGAGAGAGAGAGAGAGAGAGAGAGAGAGAGGGAAAGAGTAAGAGAGAATGATGGAAGGTGAAAGAAAGGGAGCAAGTGATGCGCACAACTTCTGGTCGGAATTTTGTCCCTTACGCACTTCTCTTTTGTGCCGGTGTACTCGTAGTTTTGATTATACATTACGACTTGTTAATTTTATAGCGGTGAGACTTCGAACTTGTCCGGCGTGTCGAGATATAACGCGCAGTAAGATTATCGAGTAAGGGTTGTTAAGTTAATCAGGAATGAGAGAGTGCGACCGGTTTATACTAAGATTAGCTAAGCTACCACCGCGTTAGCTGTACGATTTCATTATTAAGCTAATATTAAATTTTATCACTTAATCTTTAGAGCGTGTTAACTTTGTAGTAAGTCTTAAGGTGTGTCTTGCTTTTTTATGGATATACATGTGTTATCTTTAATCGTGATACTTGATAGTGCCTATAATTGTTTTAAGAACTTAAAAGATAACAGTATAAGTAATTAACGTATAAGGTATCCATTTAATGCTTTCCAATTGCAAATATTACAAGATTGCGAATTTTCCACGAGCTTTGTTACGACGAATGAAAAATTTGACTCATTTTCACTCTCATTGAAAGTTCTCCCGTTTCTTGTGCTTGCTACATGGAAATTAAATAAAATATTACATACAAGCGCGTATGAGCGCTATTAAGTAAGGATGTATCACCCAAATATCTAAAAAAATAATAAAAATATTTTGAAAAAATTATACATTAATCTATAATTAAAGGTACATGTAAAGGTCACAAACAATTTGACGTTGATTCTGGATCAAAAGTTATTCCATTTTGAAGTTTAGCAAACATGATTAATGACATCTCAAACATCATAAATGCGTCATTAACATGTTATCTTTGGCAACATTTTAAACTGCTATTGTGGAAATATATGGTGTTGCTGTCATTAGTATATGAAATAACATAATTAAAAAATAAAGAAAGAATTCCAATTTTTGTATATATGTACAGTAAGGTTCAAAACGATGTACGCAAAGTTTTATTGTGATTCAGAGATAAAAGTTTAAAAATCAGGAATAATATACAATAAAGCAAATAAACCATAAAAACGTGAGGTTCAAGTAAAAATACGTTGTTATTCAATTACATCGTCACAATTATATCACACGTTTTCAATACAAAATAGAAGTATTAACGTATTTATAATTTTCGGTTTTTTGCAGATACTGTAGGGTAATACATCCTTAAGTTAGCTATTAAGTAAAACTTCGTTCACTCTAACATTTGATCATAAATCGATTGCAGAAATTTGTATTTTAACGATTCTTAGGCGGGAATGTTAATTACATTTTCCAATGATTTCTTGTCGAGATATTTTTCCGTATGCGAAGGACGTCGTCTTTGTTGGAGGCAAAATTGAGTTGGAAAGCGTTAAGGGATCGATGAATCGTCGACGTGATACTCCGCCGTACGTGCGTCGTGACGGATATAAAGTCGGTGTAAATGAGTTGACCTGTTTTTAGACATCGCTTCGAGCATCCCTTTCCGCAAATTAGTCACGAACTCGCAATTTGAAACTTATTCGAAGGCCCTAAGAGCCGCTACGACGCACACTTGAATCTCTCGGATTTGGTAGGATGTGTGTAACCTCTTTCGAGATTTAGGTCGGTGATATTAGTTTAGTCCGTTTGTTGTCGAATTCAACTTACTCTCGGTAAAATTCTGCCTATCCATCCATTCAATTGACCATCAATCCATCATCCATCCATTCTTCCATCCATTCAATCGTCTTTCTATTTTACATCTTATTCTCCAATCTCACGTACACTGAGAAAAAAAGTTTTGAAAATCTATTTGTGCGATATAAAGTTGATTTCTGAAAAGTAAAGTTCATATCTGTGAAATAAACTTTATATCTCACAAATAAATTTCCGAATATATCTTTCTTAGTGTAATTACACAAAATGTTTCTTAACCTGCTTTTCTGATTTCACTTTACTTAGAACGACAATCTCAATGATTTTCCTTTCCTTGCCTGCTTCTCCTTTTTATTCCGTCTGTCATCTTCCGTCTATCACTTCCCTCTTTCATTTTTTCTCCCATATTTTCTCTATCTTTTATCCTTCGTAGTAATGCTAATATGCCACTATACGAAGTTCAGATATGCTCATAAATTCGAAGAATCCAATAAACAGAAATATTAATAATTAATGTTATTGGATTAGATTACTAAATTTGTATTCGGATCAATTATGTTTTTCGTGAAAATTTTTGACATTGAGAGGATATGTTTTTAAAATATGGAGCAATTCGTCCAATTTGTGAAATTATTGAATTAGATAAAAGTAGTTTTTTTCACATCTCAGTTCGGGGG